CAGAGAACAAGCAATTAACAATATACATCCTCAACTGGCTCGCATTTCTAATTCAAAATCCAGACAAAAAACCCGGTACAGCAATTATCATGCGCAGTCCCCCAGATGTGGTAAGAATATCTTAACCAATTTTATCAGAGAACGTATTCTCGGCCGTGAAAACTTCCTCTCCACTACCCGTCTTGAAGATGTAATGGGAAGGTTCAATGCGGCTGTTCGTGCCAAAAAACTTATAATCCTCAATGAATGCGATATGTCAGGCAAGGAATGGCACGGGGCAAACAACTGACTCAAGAGTTTAATCACCGAGCCTTACATCTCTATTGAGGAAAAGGGAATAGATGTAAAGGTTATTGATGACTTTGCTGGCTACATGATCCTCAGTAATCATGCTATGCCAATCCGCATAGAAATGGGAGATGAAAGATTTATAGCTCTCAACGTTTCAGCCAAATATAAAGGCAATAGAGAATACTTCAGTTTTCTTGTAAAAGTATTAGAAAATCCGGATACAGCCAGTTCCTTCATGTCCTATCTACTTAGCCGAGACTTAACTAGCTTCAATCCCCGATCTATTCCTGATACTCAAATAAAACGGGAGTTAATCGAAGCAAGTATCCCAAATCCCAAGCGTTTTATACAATATTACCTTGAAATGATGTAACCCGACAATTGCGACACACTTGAAATCCCATGTACAAATTTCTATAGCACTTACCAGAATTGGTGCAGTGAGAAGGGTGAAAACAAAATACTTAGTGATAATAAGTTTGGCATGGAGATTAAACAATTCATTCCTAAAACCCGCCCAAGACGTTCAGGTGCCTGAATAAACTATTACATACTAGATAAAGCAAAAATCGTGGAGAATTTTAGTAAAGTAATCCAAGATGTACAAGACGTACAGGAAGCACCAGTAGAGGAAGTAGAGTTAGTTGCTGAGAAACCCGCTGAAGAAAAACCTGAACCTGTTATCGAAGAGCAACCGGTTTCCAAAAGGGCTCCTCCACCGCTTCCACCCAAGCCTGATCACTTAAAAGAACGTCTACAAAAGTTAAGGGAAGAAAAACCATCTACCCCCGAGCCAGATAACTACGACGTCTTAGACGACTTGTTATCAGACTCGGATTCTATAACCGCAGACCTAGTTCCTGAAAAACCGTCTGCTTCGAGCCAGATAACTACGACGTCTTAGACGACTTGTTATCAGACTTGGATTCTACAACCGTGGACCCAGTTCTTAAGCAACAACCCGAGCCACCTGCAGAATCTTCCACAAAATCAGAATCCCTCGCAGATTCCAAATCTTCTACAGAACCTATAGTAGAAACGGCTTCTGAGCTACCTATCCCAGAACCCGACACAGAATTAGAAGTCGACCGGGATCCTGAACCAAAGGAAGGCACTCAAGCACACTGGACTTGGCAAGAATAACACCGATAGGACCGCAAGCCATGGGTTAAAAATTCAAAGGACCAGGCCTTCGATGATCTCTACAATACAGGTAAGGAATTATGGGCCAAGTGCCAAGACGCGTCAGACGAATATGACTGGGAAATACTCGCGTTTGAAGTAGAAGAATGTCCCACAACGCGTATTGAGAACAAGTACCAGTACTACCTTAGGGAGGTAGTAGACCACTTTAAAGACTGGATCGAATATAATGGAAACCTACCTAAAACATCTAGCCGTAAAGAACTCACGGATTTAATAAGAGCATACAAGGAGAATCGTAATGCTGAAATTATCCCCAATCCTCTGGTTACGAAACTATGAAGGCAGATAAGGGAAAAGCGCGAGAGATCCCCGAGGAATATTCAAAAACTAATATGGAACGTGAATGGGAAGCCGCCAATGGAATCGTCGATGACTGGGATGAAGAGGATCTTGATCGTGTATGTAGCAAGATTGACTCCTTTTAATAAAATAAGCACCTCTTAGTTATCTTATATTTTTTGTATAAAAAACCTATATTACAACTGAACACAATTCATAAATACATCAAATGGTTTATTCAGAAATTGTCTGTGCTTTACCTACAAGACCGGATATCAAAGAATTACAGTATTCAGGCGCAAGATTTTCCAGAGGAGCAATAGCAAGACTTGGACAGCGACTCCAATCCCAATATCCGACACATAAATTTCAGATTCTGCTCCCCTATGAAAACTGGAAACCCGGTGGATGGACATCAGGAAACCAACCAGCCAGCCTCTTCTCACTCTTGGACCACTACGACGAAGCACAACTACCGGATGACGCAGACCCTG